AAATGTTAATTGCTACTAAATGAATTTTGTTAATAATAAAAACTTGAATTTCCACAATAACCACGGTCTGATAACAAAATTTTTATAATTAGATAAATCAAAATAATATAAATAAATATAAAAAATCAATCAAATATTGCAAATATTTAAAATATTTAACTACGAGTAAATTAAAAAAAATATATATTTATTGGGCATTAAATTTACTGATTTTGAATTTAATTTTGAATGCTAAAAGATACTGTTTTTCCTCAAATTATTATATATACCTGTAGTAATGTTTATGTCAAATTTGTCAAATATTTGGAAAGCAAAGATAAGCATAGCAAAGTACTTCTGTTTATCATGAGTTTTTTTATAATCATAATAATAATGTTAAAATTAATAATTAAAAGCCACATTAGCTGCTGCAATACTAAGTATATATATGAAAAGTTGGGTCAAAAATAAAATGAAAATGGAAATGATTTTTACAAACCTTTAATGAATAAACTGACTACTGCTCATGAACTACAATGACTGTCCGATCGCCAATTAAAATTTGCACTGTTTTTTTTTTATTTTACCGATCTCATAGTTTGAAAAATTTTGAAAAAGAAAGATATGTCTATCTTACATATTTTATAGATGTTATGTATTTTTTTTCAGGAAGAAAATGGAGTTATCGCTGCATGAACGCGATAGGGTCGGGGTGCAAGATTCTGTTCTTTTAGAAGACTACACAAATGAATCTGTTTTTGTCGATAATCTTAAGAAGAGATTTGGAGAAGACCTCATATATGTAAGTTTACATTTTCATTTATTTCTACAATAAAACATAGACGCAGATCCAAATAATTATAACAAATTTGAATAACCTGTAGTCAACAATAAATAAAATCAGTAAACAGAAAAAAATGTTGATAATCGATAAGTAGTATTTTTTAGAATCTCGACTTCCACAAATTCTATTTCAATATTGTTAGGATATTAAACAAATCAATGTATAAGAAATTTTAGTTTAGATATAAAATCCAAACTTAATTAACTTAAAAAAATAAACAGATATTTCATAAAGATTTTAATAAAAAGTACAAATTTTTTTTGCTTTGCTAATAAAATATTTCATCCAGCAATTTGCCTTAAGGCATTATACCATGCACCACTAATTTTGAGTAACTGTTCTTTAAAACTATGAAATTTAGTAGTCAGCAATATCGTTTCATAAATAGAGAAATATTTCAAAAATTTAAGCATATTTAATTATATTAGAATTTAATTTCGGTTACGTTATGCCATGCTAATTATTTTCATTGATTTTAATATAGGTAATATTTAATTCAAAATAAATATTTATCATTTGATTTGATATTATCTTTACCCAGATTCATATTTGTTTTGGGTCAGGGCGATTATATGCATGGAGTAGCTAATTGGATTAGTAAGCGGATAGTAATTGTAGATAGATCAATTGCATAATATGCATTCCATTAATTTAACTTAATAATACGAATGAACACAAATTAATAGCAAATTATATGAATATAAATTATTTAATATAAATTGCATTCATAAAAAAGTAAAATCAACAAATTAGTTGAGAAATATCTTAATTATTTGTTTCTGTAATTCAGAAAATTTAATTCTATCAGCTCAATATAAGTTTAAATTTTTTATTGAAATTGCAATTGTAAGAAAACATGATCATGTTTATCAAAATCAGACAAATGCATCCATATACATAATTTAAGAAATAAGTACCATGAAAAAATAAATCAGCAAATAAATTGAGAAAAAGCTTAATTTTTTTGTTTCCGTAATTCAGAAGCTTTAATTCTATCATCTCAATATCAAGCAGTAATATTATCAGTTTTTACATGAATATATATATCTAAAATATGATTTCACGTGAAAATAGCCTTCCGACGCAATGTTATATAAATAACAAATTTTAGAAAAAAAATCATAATATCATCAGAAGTCAACCACCGCGTTGCCTTCTATTAACACTAAAATAATATAATATAGTTTTAATACTAAAAAAAAAATATGTAAAATAATTATTTCCAGACATACATCGGCCAAGTATTGGTATCCATCAACCCTTACAAAGAACTAAATATATACAGGGAAAAGGATGTTTTTGAATATACAAAGAAAGCGTTTTTCCAAGCCTCACCTCACGTGTAAGTACAACAAGTTTATAAAAAAATATTAAAATTACTATTACATAGAAATGACAAAAAAAAAATTGACAAGAATTTTGTCTGAAATGTTTTGTAAAACTAGTATTTTTAATTCGTATTTCGCATTTAATTCTAAATAAATTAATTTTATTTTTTGCAGATTTGCAGTTGCAGATAACGCATATAGATCACTGACTGAAGAACATCGTGGACAGTGTATTTTGATATCTGGTAAATATTTAAAAAATATAATAACAGCTATGATATGCCATGTAAAATATGTTTTAAAACTTGAGAAAAAAAACTTCATTGTTTTTGTTTAATATTTGTTCCAAAAATCTTGCGAGTATATTGACTATCATAAGCAAGGTCTCAAATTAGATATTGATTGTCATTAACTTTATTGTGATTTACTACTACTAGATGTGATAAAGATATGCAAAATAATTATAAAATCTCTTAATTTATTTTGTACATTTTGCTTCATCATTAGTAATAAGAAATTGGGAAGATCATTGAGAAATTATCAAGGAGTCTTGAGTTACCCTAATTTGATGTTTTTTTTCCAAGGTGAAAGTGGTTCTGGTAAAACAGAAGCGTCCAAAAAGGTTCTGCAATTTGTGGCAGCAGTAGCAGGCCATCAAAGTGGTGTCG